CTTATTAATTACTTAACTCTAACCAGCCAAACATAAACTAATCAAAAATATGTTTTAAATTGCAATTTCATTAAAACGAGATTCATTTCATTTCATTGTTTAAATAATCATTTCAAGTTTCAATTAATTTGTTTATATATTTGACAGTCTAACTACTACTACTACCACTGGCTACGACTACTACCACTACTACTACTAGACATATCTTACTTACTTACTTACTCCATCTAATCAGATTGACTCATTCATTTACATTATATGACTGTGTGTGGTGGTGGTAGTCGTGGTGTTCATACATTCTGTCACACAACCAATGATTGGTTCATTTGTCAAGGTCACGACATACGACTTTGCGTATATATATATATATATGTATATGCACATATAAAGACATAAACAATGAGATAGAGAGGCTACACTTATCACTGTTATTCGAATGACTGAATTTATTGTTATTGATTATTTTTTTTCGCGATTCGCCATTTTATGAACACTGATTACATGAATCGGTTTTTTTATTTAATTTTTTTTTTTGGAAAAAACATATACTGAGTTCGTTTTAGTTCTAATGCCAAATAATGTGGGAAGTACATGTATATATTTTGTGCAATAATGAACAATTTTGGTGAAGAAAATCAATAAAGTGAGTAATTATTTGTAATTGTATTTGTTGTTGTTGATGATTATGAAGTGATCAATGAAACAAACATTTTTGACAAACATTTTGCATAAACGTGACCACTGTGAAGTTCAGTCCTGTTCGGGTGTAGACAGTAACTACTACGAAGACTGTGTATGAGGTTGCGCAACTCCGTGAATTGATCAAGTGAGACATAAACACTGTTAGATAACGGCTCAGTGTACCGATGGTTAAGCGTTCGCGCAAAATACTGAAGATCCTGGGTTCGAATCCTGTGGGGTACAGGAGTCGTGGATGCGCACTGCCACTGATGAGTCCCATACCAGGATGAAACGGCCGTCTTTCAGTACTTCCAGGTTTCTGCTAATGGTGGTCTAACATTGATCGATTCATGGTTTCAAAAATAAACTTATATGTATATTTATATTTTTTCTCCTTGACAATGTTTATGCAAATCAATTGAAGGCGGTTGTTCTGTTTTTGAATTTAGGCGGCAAACTGTACATTCATGGAGTTGCACAGAAATAATATTAAGATTTGGATTTTAGGTGATAGGAATATAATTTTTTTGAAAAATTCGTGATTTTGAAGTCAGTTTATGTATAATATTTTTATGAAACCATGAATCGATCAATGTTAGACCACCATTACAAACCTGGAAGCACTAACAAACGGCCGTTTCGTCCTGGTATAGGACTCATCAGTGGCAGTGCGCATCCACGACTCCTGTACCCCACAGGATTCGAACCCAGGATCTTCAGTATTTTGCGCGAACGCTTAACCATCGGTACACTGAGCCGTTATCTAACAGTGTTTATGTCTCACTTGATCAATTCACGGAGTTGCGCAACCTCATACACAGTCTTCGTAGTAGTTACTGTCTACACCCGAACAGGACTGAACTTCACTGGTCACATCTTCCCACTAGAACTCGGAGAAGATTCCTCATGAAGCTAGTCACTAGTGAGCACAGGTTATTTCGCTTTACGGGGTTGTGAAGATTGTGAAGTTACACATTTTTGAAACGATCAGTTGATCAATGTTAGACCACCATTACAAACCTGGAAGCACTAACAAACGGCCGTTTCGTCCTAGTATTGGACTCACCAGTGGCAGTGCGCATCCACGACTCCTGCACCCCGCAGGATGTGTAACTTAACAGTCTTCACAACCCCGTAATGCTAATGTTTATGCAAATCAATTCAAGGCGGTTGTTCTGTTTTTGAATTTAGGCGGCAAACTATACATTCATGGAGTTGCACAGAAATAATATTAAGATATAGAATTTCGGTGATAGGAATATAATTTCATTTTGAAAAATTTATGATTTTGAAGTTAGTTTATGTTTAATATATTGTTAGGATATTTATAAGATATCGTAAGAGAATTTTTTTGTAAGTCTAGTTCTATTGGTCAATATTCCTATTGGTTAATTTCTACTGGTCAGCGCATTATGGTCGTCCTAATTGTCAATGTCCCATTATTCAATGTTGTTTCCTATTCGACTTAACTGTATAAATACGCATTATCAGTAATGTTTTATGACCCAGACCTGGATCCCTAGTCCGAATTCCTGGTTCTCTTCTAGAATCGGACCTCGTACTCTCTGGATGTTTGTAGAATACAGGTTCTACTTCATATCAAGTCTTCTTGTAATCAGTGGGGACTAGGGACAATCGGATTAGATTAGCCTGTCGTGTCGCCGGATTCTCGATCCTCGCTCTCATTTTCCGACTAAGGTAAACTCGTAATAGTTAAAGAGTATCAACTGACGTGTTTACATGCATACGTAACAAATACGCAGAGAGTTTGTACAGATCTTTAGATGTCCAAGTCGAACAGCTGTGAAAAAAGTGTCTATAAACCGATAAAATTTGTGTCCAAGGAGTTATCGCAAATGTTTTATCGGAAAGAAGAAAACGGATTAGACCAGATGAAATAGGTGTATTTGCTGGCGATTTCGTGGTATTGAAGAAATACCGAAACATGCCAGAGGATATGCGAAAGATACAGAGCAACCAAGATGGTGACCTTAAAGGTCATTGCGTATAACCAAGTACAGATAAACAAATACTCGACAATACGTTCACTCGTACAGTTAGTTATAATGATGAGTGTTGCTGTTTAACCAATCGTTTTTGTATTGGTAAACGTGAGTTTACTACAGATCATAAGTATTTTTCAACTGATACCACTTCTTCAGGTGAGGCGTGTCACTCACTGACAATCGAATGAGAAAAATGGAATCCTACTCTTAGTTTATGTGACGAATGCACGTCAACACGACAACTGAAATGCTGGAACTATCACCAGTTCACCTTAATCGACATGACAGTCTACTCTAATCCGAGCGTTTCAAATACACATTGAGTAGAAGAAGACTTGATATGAAGTAGAGCATGTATTCTACAAGCACCCGGAAAATAGGAGGTCCGAGTCCAGAAGGCGATAAGGATCCGGATCATAAAGCGTTACAGACAATGCATATTCATACAGTTACGTTGAATAGGAAACAACATTGAAGTCTGTGACATTCATAGTTAAGACGACCAATAGGAATCAGCCAACGGGAATTGACCAATAGAATAAGACTTACAAAACAATTCTCTTAGGATATTTGACATTCGATGGTAGTGTAGTGTCTCCACATATACTCGAGTTCGATTACATTTAATTTGGTTAGGCATTTTCGATTAATTTATTTAGCCAAGCCATTTATATGTACCATTCGTTCTTATTATTGTCTGGTTTGTATGAGCTCACATGACGTGTCCCACTTGTCATTTGACACTGTCAATCATTCGTCGCTTTTATTCATGTGTGTGCATGCCTATTTCGCTTGTCACATGTCTGTCTTATATGTGTTTGACCATATATTCCTAGTCATGCTCTATCTCTTGGAGTTGGCTCAAGAGCCTCCTCCAACGCGCTTCGCCTATTCATTCGCTTCCTTCACCCATTCGTTCGCATTGTAATTCTAGGTGTTAGCTCAACAGCCTTCTCCAACGCACTTCTCCAATTCATTCGTTTCATCTGCTGCTTCTCCACATCGCACACTTGGAGTTGGCTCACTAGCCATTCTCCACATCGCTCCATGCGATTCGTTTTAGTCGCTCATTCGCTCGCCAGTGTACACAAATGGTGGTCCCGAGGTCGAAATGGGCCACTACAGTAGTTACAGTGGCTCCAGAGATGATAAGTTCTGAAGGAAGCGAACAGATATGACCTGCGAACACACAAATTTCTATTCAAAACACAGAGAACTAAAATAGGATCACTTCATGTTCTACAATAAGATGAAAATATCTAGGCGTTTAAAAGGCTCATTATAAGAGAGTGTTTGAAAAGACCTATTGTAGTGAACGAGAACACAGGTGAGGGCAACCGAATTGTATTTAGCGAAATTACAGAGTTACTCAGTAAAATCAGAAAACCATATCGTAAATCGTTCATTTGCAAAATATCAGTTCATCATATCGAACTGGACTGTTCCTGTTACAAAACATCAATCCATTGTCACTATTCATGCGTTTCATACAAATTCCATTGTGTTCCCACTCTTCCTTTCTTGTTGATCTTCCCCCATATTATGCTGCCGGACATTACGTTGACACTCACGTCATATACTACTTATAAGTAGCTCGCACCACACTATCAGTAACTTAGGTCTCATTTGTATATCGAGCAATAACTGCATACTTTGATGTATACTACTGTTCAAAAACTGATAAATTCATACACAAGGTCAAATCTATAACTATGGATACAGACTTGAAGTTCATCGATCGCACCAATAATATCCACCATTCAAGTACTGAGTCCAAAAATGCCGCTTTCCTGTGCAATCAAGTAAATATCAAACCATTCGTTTTTGGTTGTCTAAATCTTCGCATTGATGTTTACCGGACTACATCTGATCAATCTGTAAGGCATATGTACATGCTGAATGGAGTGCTTTAGATTAGCAGAAATGGACTGTGGTTCTGGACTCGTCAGTTGAATATATATCTGTATTTCAAAGTTGTTGTTCACTCTGTGATTTGAACCAAATACCGTTCATCTCAAACATCATCGCCTTATCTACTTAGCTAATAAGTTCAGATAGAGCTACTTGCTTGTGCAATCATGTGGTGATCAATTTGCAGACCTAAACATTGATTAATAAATATGTAACAAGTGAGATATGTCTGTATTGAATAAATGTATAAAATGATGTATTTTTATTTATACTACTTAAATTGTTACTAATAGTCAATCAATTTTTTTATAGTTTTTTTTTCAACAGCTTTCATCCTGATTCTCGTTCTTTATATGAATGAATCGTTGAAATGTTAAAACAAATCAATTTTATACCATGATTATGTTTGTTTTAATTTATCAGTATATTATTGTTATATTATTGATCAATTTCATTGATAACATTGAAATGAATACTAATAATGTCAATGGGAAATGTTTAAATCATTGGATTAAACAAACAAATGATGAACTTGTTGCATTCTCGCTGTCACCATGTTTTACATGTAAATATTCTAGTTTTCAAAATTCAATGTATGTTAAATGGGACTGTGAACAAGTGTATAATTTAAAAATTAATGTAAGTTTATTATTATTACTATTATTGTTGATTATTCTAGTTAATAATCACTTTTTAAATGTTTTGTTTATATTGAAACCATGAATCGATCAATGTTAGACCAGCACCATTAGAAACCTGGAACAAGCACTGCAAGACGGCCGTTTCGTCCTGATATGGGACTCATTAATGGCAGTGCGCATCCACAACTCCTGCACATCGCAGGATTCGAACCCAGGACCTTCGGTATTGAGAGCGAACGACCTAACCGTCAGACTACTGAGCCGGTGTCTAACAGTGTTGTTAATGTCTAACTTGATCAAATTCACGGAGTTGCGCAACCTCATGCCCTGTATACATCCGAACAGGTTTGAACTTTACTGGTCACGACTTCTCACTAGAACTCGGAGAAGATTCCTCACCAAGCAAGTCACTAGTGAGCAGATATAATTGCATTGCGTGGTTGTTGTGAAGATTGTTAAGTTTTATTTGTAACCATGAATCAATCAATGTTATACCACCATTAGAAACCTGGAAGCACTGCAAGACGGCCGTTTCGTCCTGGTACGGGACTCATCAGCATGAAAAACATGAGTTGATCAATGTTACGATTACTATTGATAATCTGCAAGCATTGGACAGTTGTTTCATCGTTGTATGAGACTCATCAGTAGTGTTTATCCAAGACGCGGAACATTCGGTCTTGCGGGCTAATACCTAACCTCCTGAATGCTAAGCTGGTATCTAGTGACGTTGCGCATGCACGTAAACACGTCATTGATATGCTTGAATTATTAAAAGTTTATCTTAGTCGGAAAATGAATGCGAGGATCGAGGATCTGGTGACTGGACAGGCTACTCTAATCCGAGCGTCCCAAACCCCATTGAGTAAAAGAAGAAGACTTGATATGAAGTAGAACGTGTATTCTACAAACATCCAGAAAGTACGAGATCCGAGTCCAGAAGAGGATAAAGATCCCGGACTACGGATCCGACTCATAAAACATTACAGATAATGCATATTTATACAGTTAGGTCGAATAGGAAACAACAATCAAATATGTCATATTGACATTTAGGACGACCAATAGGGAACAACATTGAAGTACGTGACATTTGATAACTAGGACGACCATAATATTGGCTAGTAGGAATTGACCAATAGAATTAGACTTCCAAAAATAATTTTCTCAGGATATTTGATGAATAACCTAATAACGTCTAACTCCAATCAGTCCATTATGTTGAAGGACCATCATTCATTGTTTTCGGTGAGTAAGTGCCTCACACCCGATACGGCCAAATTCCATTGGTCACGATTTCTCTCTGACTATATGTCGAATGAACGTCAATTACTTAGAGTTTCAAGTTACATTAGTTATGTGAGAACACAAATCATAAACTGACTGACTGACTGAAATTAAAATGTTTTCATTACAAAGCTATCACCAATTAAATATCCAATCAATATTTTTAAATATCTGGATGATCTTGAAATTATTTTCATGAAAAAAAACCAAGCTAAACAATACTTTTATTCTCTTCAAAGTGAGCGAGTGATTTTCATTTGTTAGTCGCCTTACACCATGGAGAAGAATTCTTCTTCTAGAGAGGACTAACAAAACTGGACAACTGTTGTAGTGAACGAGAACACAGGTGGGGCAACCGAATTGTATTTAACGAAAATTACAGAGTTACTCAGTAAAAATAGGAAAACCATATCGTAAATCGTTCATTTGCAAAATATCAGTTCATCATATGGAACTGGACTGTTCCTGTTGCAAAACATCAATCCATTGTCACTATTCATGAGTTTCATACAAATTCCATTGTGTTCTAACTCTTTCTTTCTTGATCTTCCCCCATCTTCTGTTGCCAGACATTACGTTGACACTCACGTCATATACTACTTATAAGTAGCTCGCACCACACTGTTACTATTGATAACATGGGAAGGTGACTGCTGGATCAGTCCAAAAGGAAAATGTTTGAAGCTTGATATGCTCGTCAACTGATATGCTTGCAACTATTAAAAGTTCACCTTAGTCGGTAAACAAGAGCGAAGATAAATGATGCAGTGATACGGTAGGCGAGCAAGAAGTCTTGATAAGGCGTAGAAAGTGTATTCTACAAGCACCCAGAAAACACCAGTTTGAGAAGTACACAAATCAAGCTTATTTATACAATGATAGAAACGCCCACAAAATAGCGTTCTATAAAAATCCCTCAACTAATGACAGTCAAGGTGTAGTGAAGGAGAACACAGGTGAGGGCAACCGAATTGTATTTAACGAAAATTACAGAGTTACTCAGTAAAATAGGAAAACCATATCGTGACCGTTCATTTACAAATCTTCAATCCATCATCAATCCATTGTTTGACATTTCACAATTCATGCGTTTCATCCAAATTCCATATTGTGTTCCCACTCTTCCTTTCCCTTGATCTTGCCCCATCTTCTGCTGCCAGACATTACGTTTACACTCGCGTCATATACTACTTATTAGTTCCGCGAGATGATAATAATCGATGGCTAGAGACCTTGAATGACATGGCTCAAAATCGTTCGCAATGGCGCCAGTGCATTTATTCTTTGTGTTCTCTCAAATCCTAATCTTCTGGATTCTTCAACACCTCTAGTTTTTACTTTCTAAACTTATCTCATGGAATCATACTTCGTGAATAATATCTTCTAATTCTAACCTCTCCGATTACTTCGAATACCCTTACTACCTCTTCTACTATGAGATTTGAATTGACAATTATATCTCTGTGCTTATGTGGTATGGCGACATGAACTGATGTACTTACGTACGAAGTTCTACGTTGCAACTGACTGACTGACTACTTATTAGTAGCGCGCACCACAAAGGATTTCCGAGTGGAAAATGTAAGCTGTAGGCCAAGCGACGCGAAAACATGAAAATTCAGAATTTCAGTATAAAATTACAAAATTAAGACCTACTCCAAGTGAGTTCTGGGGATCTAACGTCCCCAACAAAGGCAATCGTAAATAGCCTTGGTAATGGGATAACAATTCATGATTGAAAGGAGGTACTCTTTTTTTTATGGCCTTTAGTTGTAGTAAGTATTACTGCCATTAGGCTATCGTATGGTTGGCTTTACGACTTTCTTATCAGGCCTTAACTTGGTTTTTCAGTCTAACCATTCGTCATCCAACATGTCCGCCATAGTAGGGTATAAAACTAACTAATGTTTCAGCTCATATACCACATCAAAATGTCGGGTAGTTTCAGACAGACTACAATCATAGCGTATATACGAACTGGAACAATAAAAGTTTTGGAAATTCTTACCCCCAATCAATAAGATACATTAAATTCACGCTTGAACTTTAATGATAGATGAAACTTAGCTTTAAATCATACAAAGAAAATCGGGCTAAATCGATAATGATCACGTGATTACAACTCAAACTCGACTGACTGAATTCACAACCATAACTATCACATATGACACAGTCAGTGTATACAACTTAACAGTTTGCAATTTCTTTATCATATTAAATAGAGATTCATGCATGAAAAAAATGAATGATGACCTTCCAATACACATCTGACCGTACTATTACCAGACGCATGAAGCATGAAGTATAATTTTAACATTACGGGGTTGTGAAGATTGTTAAGTTACACAATTTTTGAAACCACCATTAGAAACCTGGAACAACTGACAGACGGCTGTTTCGTCCTGGTATGGGACTCATCAGTGGCAGTGAGCATCCACGACTCCTGCACCCCGCAGGATTCGAACCCAGGACCTTCGGTATTGTGCGCAAACGCCCTAACCGTTAAAGCACTGAGCCGCAACCCCGTAGATTTGAGCAAGTTAGACATTAACACCGTTAGATACCGACCCAGTGGTCCGATGGTTAGGCTTTGCCTACAATACCGAAAGTCCTGGGTTCGAATCCTGCGGGATGCAGGAGTCATGGATGCGCACTGCTGATGAGTCTCATACCAGGACGAAACGGCCGTCTTGCAGTGCTTCCAGGTTTCTGCTAATGGTGGTCTAACGCTTATCGATTCATGGTTTCAAAAAATGTGTATATTTTTTATTCAAGGGCTGCCATACCTACGTTACAATAGAAGATGCCTGATTTTCTGTATTCAATATTGATATTGAACTAAATAATTTATCATTGTTTCGAATTCCTTAAAGTGCTTAGTGTATGTTGGTCTACCAAATGATTGACTGAAACATTTGACCATGTAGATATAAAGTAATCTGATGTTTGATTGATTATTTAGGCGCATTGTATGAATGAATGCCAAACGCAAATCATTAACCAATCATGAACAAGTGCATAAAATCATTCATTGAACCAATCAGAATTGAACTAATGAGACTATTATTATTTGTGTTAATTATCTTTACACATTTTTGGCATCATGAATCGATCAATGTTAGACCACCATTAGACCTGTGCTCACTAGTGACAAGCTCCGTGAGGAATCTCCTCCGAGTTCTAGTAGGTAGACGTGACCAGTGAAGTTCAATCTGTTCGGGGGGAAGACAGTAACATCCGGAGACTGTGTATGAGGTTGCGCAACTCCGTGAATTTGATCAAGTTAGACATTAACACCGTTGGTCCTATGGTTAAGCGTTCGCGCACAATACCGAAGTTCCTGGGTTCGAATCCTGCAAGGTGCAGGAGTCGTGGATGCGCAGTGCCACTGATGAGTCCCATACCAGGACGAAACGGCCGTCTTTCAGTGCTTGTTCCAGGTTTCTAATGGTGGTCTAACCTTGATCGATTCATGGTTTCAAAAATGTGTAACTTAACAATCTTCACAACCTCGTAATGTTAATTATATTTGACAGAATACGTTTGTAGACATCGTTAAATTTCATTCAAACTATGAAATGATCTCTGTTGGACTACCTTTGGGAACTTCAAAGCACTGAATGCCTCAATCGTCTGGAAATTAAGTGTTTGTTTAGGAGATCGAAGGGTTCGATTTTTGATTGCAGAATCGTGGATTTGCACTGATAAAGA